ACAGCAACTTCGTACTGGGGAATGCGCAGGTGCAGTCGCTCTACCCCATCGTCTACTGTTCGGACGGCTTCTGCGAGCTGACGGGATACGCCCGAGCCGAGCTGATGCAGAAGAGCTGCGCGTGTCACTTCCTGTATGGCCCAGAGACCAGCGACAGATTGACCGCTCAAATCCAGAGCGCTCTGGATGAACGGAGGGAGTTCAAGACTGAGCTGGTCTTCTACAAGAAAGGAGGTGAGAGAGAGAGAGAGAGAGAGAGAGAGAGAGAGAGAGAGAGAGAGAGAGAGATGTGAATATCTGACCAAAAAAGACAAATATAAATGTCCTCACTGATTAAACCTTGGAAGTCTGGTGGGATTTCTTGAGACGTTTATGTGGGTAACATTCGTGTTCTTGCCATTTCGTTCAGCTGTAGCTGCAGCTGCAAACTCCAAGGTGTCCCAGAATCATCTCAGAAACATTTGATGGGACAAAAAGCATGCAACAATTTAACAAGCAAGCAAACGTTCCTTTACCCGTTCCCCATCTGGCCACTTTGGTCATAATATCAAAATACAGCAATCATGAAAAATAAGGCATTTTGGTAACACTTTCTATGAATGTCACCTTTTTAAGCATCTATAAACACATTTATAACATGTTAAAATACATGCATAAGACATTATAAACATGGCTATAAATATTTATAAAAATGCATTATACATTATAGCCATGCTTATGCATTATGAATTGTTAACATAATACATTATAAGTACTGATCATAACAAATTATAAGAGCTCATAAGTCATATTTGTCCGCTCTAAGTAAAGTGAAGCGTACTGTACTAAAGCCTCCTCCAGTGTTAAGAGTGAGGCTTCAAGTTGAAGTATTTACTGAAGGATTTACTGAAACACTAAAACATTCACAGTAAAGCACATTACAGGCTTCAAATGTCAGAGTTTAAACTAGAGCTGCCATCAGTGTTTTACCCAATGTGGGAAAGGTAATGTACACCACCGTTAGCTTGGTATTTGTGTTTACTTTACGCTCTCCAAGCTGGGACTGACTTCTTTGGTACTGGCATTATAACATGTTATTAACACTATTTATAATGCATTATATTAACAATTCATAATGTATAATAAACATGGCTATAAAGTGTAATTCAGTGTGATTCTTTTTTATAAATATCTATAACCATGTTTATAATGCCTTATGAATACATTATAACATGTTATAAATGTGTTTATAGATGCTTACAAAGGTGACATTCATAGAAAGTGTTACCGCACTTTTTCATCATAATAAAGTATCTCGTCTTCTACTTACAAACACAAACCTGTTATGGGTTGTACGTCTAGAATCCTCACTTTCCACACTCTCTCCACCTGTTTTCAAATTGCATGTACAATTGGCAAATTTAGGCCTCCCACGCCATTTACCAGCAGTTCAGCAGCACCACTGCTTTGGAAAACACATCCATTTGACCAAATTGCTTTGTAAAGCCTTTCTCAGAGTCCTAACTGGCATCAGATGCACCTGTGCACAGATCAGGGATGATAACACCTTAATACAACAGCTTGTGTCCTCATCTCCCCTTTTTGCCAACTTTTCTGAAAATAGCGCAGCGCTATTTCCCAAACATTTCAGACCATAACAGCTCCACAGCAACGCTCATGCTTTTTGACTGCGGTTCTTCTTCCCGTAATAAATAGGGACAAATAAAAGGAGCACAGCGTGTAAAACCATTCGCATATTCACTCACCTGCGGCTAGGAAAACAAAGCTAAAATAACCGCTATGTAATCCGAGAGCATGAGAGTGAATATGGACACGTCAGGTGTTTCTTTGTTTTCAGCTTTGTCACAGTTGTCAGGGGATATTTGTGACATTTTCTATTGTATAATACATTTGCAAAAAACATTAAAAATAAAAAAGTGTATCGGATGTCTTGACGTGGTTTTTTAACTTGGATGATAATTTTTTTCATTATTTAATACCAAGGTTTACAATTACAATTACAAGTACGTAGAAAATACTATTAAATGAAGTATTTTCACTGACAAAGTGCTGTAAAATGTCATGGCCAATAGCCACTTTTTGAAAAAAAAGGTTAAATGTATGTAAATAAATCCTAAACATACTGTATTTCAACATGGCTGTAGTTCAAAGAAATACAATCTGTATTCTTTCAACATTTACACTTATTTTATTGGTTGTTACTGTTATTATTATGGTAAAATACTGTAAGTCGGTGTAACTAGTTAAATTAGTGCCGAATTACTGTAAAAGCAGTGTTTCTAAGATATTAAATGTCATTGTACAGATTTTTTACCATAATTGAGAAAACAGTTTTACTGTTAAATAATGGACTTCGTCTTGCACCCCTGCTGCTGGACCTTTTACTGTTTTTTTTAAAGATTTTTTTTACAGTTTTTTTTACAGTGTACTTAATTGTATACATAAACAGTTACCTTGGAGGAAGTGACAAAGCATTAAAGCAGCACTATGTAGTATTTTGTGCTAAAACTGAAAGAAGTAGTATTACTGGGTATTAAGAAATAAGAACACAGTAAAATATGGTGTGCATTCATCACTGCAAGTTGCCCTATAAAGCCTGAAATAATCATTTAAAAGTCAGGGGTACCACAACGGATTTAGCAGGGGGGTTTTGGACTATGTCATATGTCTTTATGCATTAATGTTACACACAGGCTCGAAAAGAAGGTCCGACTTAATGTGTAGGTCTCAAGCAAAACCAACGGTATACTCATAAAGACATGAAGGTAACAGTTGAAGACACACCCTTCACCAAGTTTTGACCTCTGTTGAAGTTCTCTTCAAACAGATTCATCCATTTGTGGTCCGAAGCACAACCGACATTACAAAATGTTCTTCCGCACATTGCGGACAGTTACATATTTCTACCAGAGAGGTCTCCAAATGCCCAAAACTTATGTAGTGTTGATTTAAAGTCTTAGTTTTACAGCTAAACTCAAAAACATTGTTTAGAAATCATAACCATGAACAATTATGATTTTTCACTCATTTTAGTGGTTGGAGCTTAAAGCTGAAGTCAAAGTCTTGAGATCACAGACACTCATAGCTCCTGTGTTGGTGGAACTTGTGATGCTGAACTTAATTTAGCAGAATGGGCTCTTACCCAGTGTCTTCGAGTCACACGGGCTAAAAGAACATTGATAACTTTATCACTGTTACAACCCAATTGATCCATTTTGACTTACTCTGCATCTTCTTCTCACATACAAAAGCACTTTGGACTTGATGTGAAGATTTCAGTGCGTTACAATCAACATCAGCAGTCTACAACAACTAAACATTAAATTACAAATGAATGAATGAGTGAAAAGTAGGTCTCTGATGGTGTTTTCTGTAGTGCAGCAGCTAGTTAGTAACACCAACAACTTAAAGGCCTGTATCTTCAGCTGAGGTTAGTTGGGACAGTTGCATCGATGTAAAAATACAGAGATGCATCAACCTGGCAATTCAACGGCATAGATTCTGTAATTTTATTGATTATAATAAAGGAGGTGCTCCTTTAGTCTGAGTCCATGGTCTTAGCCCAGAAAAGGATGGCATGCCCACTCCGGGTAAGGGGAAAGGACTTGCCCCAGGTGGAGGAGTTTAAGTATCTCGGGGTCTTGTTCACAAGTGATGGGAAGAGGGATCGTGAGATCGACCGCAGGCTGGGACAGGTCGGCAGCAGTAATGCTACATCCCGACCCTCACCTATGGTCATAAGCTATGGGTAATGACCGAAAGAATGAGATCGTGAATACAAGTGGTGGAAATTAGCTTTCTTCACAGGGTGGTGGGCTACACTCTATTTGATAGGGTGAGGAGCTCGGCCATCTGGGAGGAGCTCAGAGTGGAGCCGCTACTCCTCCGCACTGAGAGGAGCCAGCTGAGGTTGTTCGGGCATCTGATCCGGATGCCCCCTGGACGCCTCCCGGTGGGGGTGTACCAGGAACTCAGACATCAATTGCAATCACTTGCAGTAAGTCCAAGCCTGCTTTATTAGAAATTATTAGATCAGTTGTGCAGCAACAGACAGGCTACACAGGCTGTAATTGTACCTATATAGTGGACCTATAAGATTTCTTGGATGGATGGCAATTTCCCTCATAATTTCCTCATATTCCTCTTTTACACTTCAGAGGTTAAAAAAAAAGTTATTTGTGATTGTGATGACACAGAACACAATTTCTTCAAAACCCGTCTCTCAGTCTGTAAATATTTATGAGAAACGTTACTTAACATCTTAAATTTGGTGGTATTTTTTTTTCCCATTTTCTCTTTAACTGTGTTTTGAATGATTTTCTGCCTGTTTTCCTCCACTACAAAACTACACTGCCTGCATTTAGAGCCCGAGGGATGTGAGAAGCATTTTTAAAACTCATTAATTTAGAGATAATGCAATCCCCATCAGGAGGTTGTGCATTGCTTAGTTTACGTACACTTAAACCACACACAGAGAGTCTACAGACAGGATATTCAAGCTGAGAGCATCTTCCCTTGTGGATTTGTTTACTGTACTACTTGTCTTAGAGCTTTAATCAGGCATGAGATGTTGGTCCATTTCTGAATATACCCCAAGAACATTCTCTCCCAAGTCAACCGTAGCCCAATAAAATTCTGTCCAAACCTGGCAGCAACACAAAGAAAATTCAGTTTGAAACTGCCTGTAACCCAAAAAAACATACTGAATGAGACTGTAGCCTGAGCAAATTCTGTCTAAACTGACTGTAGCCTGAGAGGATTCTGTCTGAAACCAACTGCAGCCCAATAAGATTCTGTCCAAATCTGACTGTAATGCAAAGTAAATTCTGTCTGAAACTGCCTGTAGAACAAATAAAACAAAATAAAACTGTTGGCTCATTCTGAACTGAAAGGTTACTTGACAACATTCTAAGTGAAGTGATCTGTAGCCTGAAAAATCCTGTCTGAACAAAACTGTAGTCCAACAAAATTGTCTGAACTCAATTATAGCCAGACAAATTTCTGTCTAAACCATCTGTAGCCAGACAAAATTCTGTCCAAATATGACTGTAGCCTGACAAATTTCTGTTTGTAGCCTGAGAGAATTCTATCTAAAACCAGCTGTAGCCTGACACTGTCTAAAATCAGTTGTAGCCCAACAGAATTCTGTGTAAACTGACTGTAGCCTGACAAATTCTGTCTAAACCGACTGTAGCCTGACAAATTCTGTCTAAACCGACTGTAGCCTGACAAAT